ATATAACTAGAATAATGGAGGACCGCATATATGAGTAAAACCAAATGACATCATATAATGTACAGGTCCATGACAGGTCCATGGACAGGTTCAAACTACTTCATGAAGTACTCATAATGTACAGAAGGCTTACCGACTATTGGAGAGTTTGTTCTATTGTTGATTAGGTGCCCGGCTTTGAATGATTATAATGGGATTGAGGTTTTGTTCCTGCCCAAAAATAGTCCTGCTTTTATACACTGTGAGTGCCGTGCGAAGGATTTTTCCTCCTACATATACCATTTCAAAGTCCTCTGTACATTACGAGTACTTTATGAAGTAGTATGAACTTCTTGAAGAAGAACTATCGAAATGGAGATATATATCCGGAGTCTTCGTCCTCTCTACGTACCATTTATGGACTTGCACTATTCTAATATAAGTACCATTAATGGACTTGCACTATTCATGGGCCTGTACATTCTATGATGTAAATTTATTTTACTGACATATGTGGCCCTCTGTTATTCTTATATAAACTACCTCTGTCTTGCATGACTTTTGAGCAATTGTGGTCTGCGTTATTTATACAGTGTTTGCTTGCTTGCTTTGAATCCCAGGAGAACAGGGCTCTCCCACTTTAAGCCATCAGTCGTTAATAATAGTTAATAATAAATTTAAGCCCCCTGGTGGCCAAGCAGAGAAAAAATGCAAGGAAAATGGCAGCCTAGAAAACTGCCATGTGGACACTCTTGGTACTAGTGCAGATACCTCTGTATTCACAGGGACAATAAATGCAAAACAGAGAATCCTTGCTGTATAGATGCAGCCAGATGTTCAAAGGGACCTTAAAAAAAATGGTAAGGCTGGAAAAACAAATGAATCCCCTTTGGGAGTGAGATAAAACTCTGGTGATGCCAAAGGGGGTAAAGGACCCCTGGATCTCCCAGAGGAGGTGCTGCTGGAAGGCCTGTGTGGGAGTTCCTCCAGCAGGGCCTTTGGCCCAGGGAGAGGGGAATCGGCATTGGCGCCGTTTCCCTACTTGCACTGTTGCTGTGACCCTCACCAAGTTTGTGGCTGTTCTGCTCAGGACAGACAAGCTGCCGGTCCGGTAGTTCCTGGTTCCGTTCCTACGGCGCCGCAGGGGTAGGATGGTGCTGTACAGCTCCAGAGTCCCCAAGTCCCCTTTGGGGGGCTCACCCTGAAAGGCAATGAAAGAGAAGCTTTCGACAGCATAAAGAGAAGACCCCCCCCCATTACATCTTTGACATCTGTCAGGATCATTAGCCAAGTCACACCACACACGGCTTCATAAGAAGATAAGGGTTTATTTGATGGATCCAGTACTAATGATCACACGTATACATCTTGTGTCAGGAAT